GGGATCCCCCACCCCAAAGGGTCCCTGTCCCAGAGCGGGGATCCCCCATCCCAAAGGGTCCCTGTCCCTCGAGAGGGATCCCCCACCCCGTGTTCCTCTCTGCCGGGGTCCCGGTCCCGGGGCAGTGTCCCCCATCCCGAAGGGTCCCGGGGGTCCTTACCGGGCTCCGGGGTGCCGGGGGTGGGTCCTGCCCGCGGCGGTGCCGCTGTCCCGGTGTCGCGGTGTGCCGCTGTCCCGGGATGCCGCTGTCCCGGGATGCCGGGGCTCGGTGCGGAGGGAGGGACGGAGGGAGAGGGAGGGAGGGAGGGAGAGGGAGGGACGGAGCACCGCGGCCGCCGCCCGCCCCGCTGTGCCGCTGCGGCGGGGCTGGGCCGGGCCGGGACCGGGGCCGGGAGCGGGAACCCGGCCCCGAACCGCCCCCAGCCGGGGGGGCCGGGGCACCGCGGGAAGGGGGGCAGGGGAAGGGGAAGAGGAAAGGAGGAAGGAAAAGACGAGAGAGGAGGAAAGAAAGAGAAAAGGGGGAGAAAGAAGGGAAAGGGGGAAAAGAAGAAGGAGTTGGAAGAGGAAAGTAAGTGAGAAAAGGAGAGAAAGAAAAGAGATGAGGAAGAAAGGAAAAGAGAGGAAAGGGGAAAGGAAAAAGGAAGGGGAAAGTTAAAAAGGAAATGAAAAAGGGAGGGAAGAGACAAGAAAAATTACATAAGGAAACGGAAGAAAAATTAAAGAAAAAGGTGTGAAGGGAGGAAGATGAGGAGGCTGAGAGCTGGAGGAAGGGGACAGGGACCAGTGTGGGGAAAAGGAAAGGAGAAGAGTGGGGAGAGGGAAGGAAGGGAAAGGAGGGAAAAGGAAAGAAGAGAGAGGAAATAAGAGAAGGAAAAGTGGAAGGAAAAGGAGGGAGAGGGGGAGAAAGGGATGGACAACAGGAAAAGGAGGAGGAAGGGGCTGGGAAGGGGAAGTGGATGGATAGGAAAAGTACTGGAGAGAAGAGAAGGAAAGAAGGAATAGATGGATGGGGAAGGGAAGGGGGACAAAGGAGGACAGGACAGCTGGGCACCCAGAGGCTCTGACCCCAGAAGGTGCCAGGATGGTGCAGAGATAGGGATGAGGGGCTGGCATGGGGACAGGAGGGGACAACCGATGGGGATGGGAGGGACGTGGGCTAGAGCTTCAGGTACCAGGAATGGGATCAGAGGTGTGGAGATGGGGACAGGAGCTGGGAATGGAGCAGAGATGGGGCTGGAGGGACCAGGGATGGGGGTCAGGGAGTGGGGACAGAGCTGGGTTCTGAAGGAACAGGGCTGGGGACAGGGACAGCGGACATGTGCAGGGTGACGGGGACACATGTGGCTCTGGCGATGCGCCTCAGTTTCCCCCCATGAAGGAATTGTTCCAACTGCTCTTCCCCCCGACTTTTTAAAATTTTATTACTCCCCCATCCTTCCCGTTTTCTTTTCGTGCTCCCCCTTCTCTGTTTCCCCGCCGGGGCCGGCCGGAGCCAGCGGGGCCCTTTCCCAGCCCTGAGTCAGGGCTTTCCGCTCCGCAGCCGCCGGCGCCGCCGAAGGCCACAACCACCGGCCCCCCCTCGCTGGGGCTTCCACTGCCCACAAACTGGGAGCAAACTGGGACGGCCACTCCAGCCCTCCTCCTCCTCAGCCAGCCCGGCGTGGGATGGGCGGGCACCCCAGGGATTTTTTTGGGGGGTTTCTCTCGCACCAGCATCGCCCACCGGGGTCCGGCTCCCGGGGGGTTCTGGCGCTGCCCGAACGGGCGGGCTGGGGAGGGTGGGGGTGTCACTTGGGGTGGGGGTCTCTCCGGGGCTCGGGGGCCGTGGGGACCCCCCCGTGTGCCCCGGGACCCTTCAAAGCGCGGCGGCCGCGCGGGGGGGCGGCGGCGGGGGCTGATTACAGGGCGGCGCCGGGCTCGGCCGCCCACGGCCCCGCGGCCGCGCCGGGCCCCCGCAATTACCCGGTATTTATACCCGGCCGGACGCCGGGACCTCGCCAGGGCGGGGGGGACACGGAGCGGGGGGGCTCCGTCCACGGGCAGCCGGCCAGCCACCGTCCGTCTGTCCATCCCTCCCTCCATCCTCCTCTCCATCCCTCCTTCCCATCCCTCCCCCGTTTATCAGCGTGGCTCCGGAGCTGGCACGAATTTGAGGGGGCTCAGCCGCTCTGTCCCAAATCTGAGGGGATCTCAGCTCCACCATGACACGAGTTTGGGGGGTCTCAGCCCCCTGAGATGAGTCTTGGGGGGGTCTCAGCACGACAGGGGTTGCAGGGCCGGAGGTGTCCCTGTCCCCATCCCGGTCCCCGGGGCCAGGAAACGCTCCGTGCCCGGTGCGGGGGTCCCGGCAGTGCTGTCCCCCCCGATCCCCGCGGTGTCGGCGGGGGCACCGCAGCCCCTCGGGGTCGGGGGGGGGAAGCGGAACCAGCTCGGGGATCCCCGCGTCCCCCCACCCCTCACCTGGCGCGGTGTCCCCCGTGTCCCCCCGGCCCGGCCCTGCCCCGCCCGCCCTCCCCGGCCCCCGGATGTTTCCCTTGCGGTCGGAGGCCCCGAAATAGCGCAGCCCCCGCGCTGGGTGCGCCGGCCACGGCCGCCCACGGGCCCCGCGGGACCGGGGGGACCGGCGGAGGCTCCGAGGGCTCGGAACTGGGCCGAGCTCCCCCCACCCAGCACCACCCACGGGGGGCACCCGGTGTTCGGAGCCCTCCCGGGCATCCCAGAGATGCCCCTCAGCAAGGCGGGGCACAGGGAGGGTCTGCGGGGCAGGAGGAAAGCGGGGGGAAGGTGGGGGGCAGGAGGAGCCGGGGGACGTGTGGGGACACGGGGCTGGACGGGGACAGGGACCTGCAGGGACAGAGGGGCACCCGCAGTGGGGCTGGGGGGCTCCCACCCACGGGGAAGCCAGCGCAGGGTGGCCCCGGGGCTGAGCTGCGCCCGCGGCCCCGGTGTTTCCTCCCACCCTTTAATTATCCCGGAATTATCCCTGGAAATAACTGCGGGGGGCGGGGGGGGAGACACGGGCACCGAGCCGGACGGACCCCCGGTGGGGACAGACGGACCGGGGACAGACCCCGGGCAGGCCCCGGGGGACAGGGTGGCCTTGGGGGGACAGTGGTGTCCCGGAGGTACAGGGTGGTCCCGGGGGTACAGGGTGGTCCCGGGGGGACAGGGTGCTCCCGGGGGGACAGCGGTGTCCCGGGGGTACAGGGTGGTCCCGGGGGGACAGGTACAGTGGTGCCCCGGGGGTACAGGGTGGTCTCGGTGGTACAGGGTGCCCCGGGGGGACAGGGTGGTCCCGGGGGGACAGGTACAGGGTGGTCCCGGGGGGACAGGTACAGTGGTGCCCCGGGGGTACAGGGTGGTCTCGGTGGTACAGCGGTGCCCCGGTGGTACAGTGGTGCCCCGGGGGGACAGCGGTGCCCCGGTGGTACAGGGTGATCCCGGGGGGACAGGTACAGTGGTGCCCCGGTGGTACAGGGTGCCCCGGGGGGACAGGGTGGTCCTGGGGGGACAGTGGTGCCCCGGGGGGACAGGGTGGTCCCGGGGGTACAGGGTGCTCCCGGGGGGACAGCGGTGGCCCCCAGCACCGCGGGCACCCCGAGCCCGCCCCCCGGTCCGTGTGCTCCCCCCGTGTCCCCCCCGCCATGTGGCTCCCATTGCGCTGCGGTGCCGAAGCCACATCAGAGCGGTGGCAGCGGCAGCCGCGGGGGCGGCACCGGGGGCCTGGCCCCCCCTCCGGCTGCTGAAGGACCCCCGCAGGCTGCGAGAGGAGCCCCCCAAGCTGCCACCGTGCCCCCTGTCCCCTCCAAGCTGCCAAAACCCTCCCATGGAAATCTGGGGTACCCCACCTGCCCCCCAAGCTGCCAGGGACTCCCCCCACGCCTGGACACCCCCTCCCCCAATATCCCGGGACCCCTCCACGCTGCCAGGGACCCCCCTGACCCTGGGACCACCCCCAGCCTGCAGCGACCCCTCCCCAGCCCTGAGCCCCCCAGGATGCCCCGGGTGTCTCAGCCCCCGGTGCCTTGTGTCCCCCCCCGGTCCCCCCGGGGCTGTGACCCCCCGGTCCCGTGCTCCCCCCCCGGTCCCCCGCCCGTCGCTGTCCCCGGGCCGATCCGCCCTGGCTCGCGCCGCGCTGCATTTCTGCGGTTCCCAACCCAAAATTGCTGGGAGTCGCCCGGCGTCGCCCTGATTCCTCCGCGGCCGCGACCTGCCGGGGGAGGGGGGGACCCAGAGGGACAATCGGGGGGTGGCAGCGGGGGTGGGGCACCCCAGGCTAACCCCGCTGCCCCCCCCGGCCCGCCCCAGTGCTCCCAGTTTGCCCCCAGTCCAAGGCTGAGGCTCCTCTGTCCCCGTGCCCTGAGCCGCCCCGGCCAGGGGGAGGCGGGGACAGCGACACGATGGGGACAGGACAGGCCTGGGGACAGCAGCAGAGGGAGCGCAGGGACAGTGCAGGGTTGGGGACACTTCTGGGGACACGGGACAGGACAGCACCCGGATGTGAGAACCCCGGGGACAGGACAGGGCTGAGGACAGAGATGGGGACAGAACAGGGCAGGGATGGAGGCACTGTGTGGGACAGGACAGGGCAGCTTTGGGGACACCCTTGGGGGCACGACACGACGGGGGACACTGCTAGGGACGCTCCTGGTGCCAGGACAGGACCAGTGACAGTGCTGGTGCCAGGGCAGGACCAGTGGCAGTCGGTGCCCAGGTCCCACTGTGGTGGGTGACAGTCGGTGACACTGTCAGTGATAGTCGGTGACCGTTGGTGCCCGGGTCCTGTCATGGCGGGTGACAGTCGGTGACACTGTCGGTGACACGGTGACACTGTCGGTGACACTGTCGGTGACACGGTGACACTGCCGGTGACACTCGGTGACACTGCCGGTGACACGGTGACACTGTCGGTGACACTGTCGGTGACACGGTGACACTGCCGGTGACACTCGGTGACACTGCCGGTGACACGGTGACACTGCCGGTGACACTCGGTGACACTGTCGGTGACACTGCCGCTGACACTGTCGGTGACACTGTCGGTGCCCGTGGCGCCCCCGCCAGGCGGCAGCAAAGCCTCGGGCCCGGGGGCGGCACCGCCCGGCCGCGACCACCGGGGGGCGCGCGGGGACACGGGGGAGGGGTCCCGGGGCAGGGAGGGGTTAATTGGGGGTGTTAATTGGAGGAGGCCCGACGGGGCTGGGGGGCCATGGGTGTCCCCAGAGGGGGCAGTTACCGGAGGGGGTCACCGGGACAAGGACCCGGCTGGGCTAACGGGGTGAGGGGGGGTCTGACGGGCCAGGACCTGCCCTCGACCCCCCAGCCCAGCGCAGCCCCCGGGCTCAGCTCCGGTGGCAGGACGGGGACAGTCCCGGTGACCACCCCAGGTGCCACCATCGCGGGTCACAAGGGGACACCGAGTGACCCCCATGGTCCGGGGGACAGGGCAGGGACAGGATGGGGACAGGGCAGGGACAGGACAGGGACAAGAGGGGGACAGGGCAGGGAAGGGACAGGATGGGGACAGGGAAGGGACAAGAGTGGGACACGGCAGGGACAGGGCAGGGACAGGGAAGGGAAGGGATAAGGCAGAGACAGGGCAGGGACAGGGAAGGGCCAGGGTCAGAGCCAGGTTGTCCCCAAGCCCCGTCGGGTGCGGGGCCGAGGCCGCGGGGCCTTCCCGGGCTGCGGGGTGGGAATTGGGCCGAAAACAGCGGGAAATGGGAGGGTCACGGGGGGCGATTTTGACGGTGGAAAGCGAAACCAAGGCCGGGCCGTGTCCCTCGCTGTCCCTGCCGCCCCCAAAGCGCCCCTTTTGCTGTGAAATGAAGGATCTGGGCCCCAAAGCCCCCAGGCCGCGCTCCCACGGCAAGGGCGGCCGGGCTGCCCGCTGTGTCGGGACAGGGCGATGTCGTGACAGGGCTCTGGGCTTCACACAGCTCCTGAGGACGTGTCGCGCCGCCATGGCGGCTGTCGCGACACGGCCGAGCCGTCTTGCGGCACGGAGCGGGGACTCGAGGAGGGAAGAGCCGCACGCAGCCCGCGGTACCGAGGCGGGGACAGCCCCGGCCGGGCCCGGGGAGCGCGGCCGGCCCTGAGGGAGCCGAGCCCAACATGGCGGCGCCGCCATCCGCCGCGCCGTCCCCCCAAGGGCGCAGCCCGGCCGCTGGCCCCGCCCCCCCGCGGCGCCCATTGGCCCGTTTGAGACCGAGCGGCGCTCTGATTGGCTGCGGGCCGCGCCGCGGCTGCCGCCTCCGCGCTCGGATTAGCGGCCGCTACCATCACTATCGGCTCCTCTCCCGCCCCGCGGCGCGGCCCGCGCAGCCGGTTGGCGCGGGGCGCTGCCGGTGACCGCCACGCCCGGCCTCCCGCGCCCCATTGGCGGCGGCGCACGTTCATCACGCCGCGGCCCGCGCCGCCGCGGCCGCGCCCATACGGGGTCTCCCTGCGAGCCCGCGCGGGCGCCGATTGGCTGAGCCGCCGCCCGCCCCCTCCCCCCCGCGCCCCCATTGGCCGCCGCCCCGCCGCGCTCCCCCTCCCCCACGGGGCGGGGTGCCGGGGGCGGGGACCGCCCGCCCTCCTCTCCCCCCGCGCCGCACCGCCCTCTCTTCCCATTGGCCGCGCTGCCCGTCGCTCCGCCGCTCGCGCGGCGCCCATTGGCTGCGGGGGCGGCGGGGGCGGGGCGCGGGGCTGCGGCCGCGGCGCGCGGCCCCTCCCTCGGCAGCCCCTCGGCGGCACCGGCGGGTTCGGCCGCTCGCCCGCCCGCGCCCCCGCCCCGCCCCGCGCGCCCGGCCCGGCCCCGGCACCATGAGCGGTAAGGACGGGGCCGGGGCCGAGCGCCGCGCGGGGCCCCGGGCACACGCACAGGCGGCGGCGCCCGCCCGCTCGGAGGGGCCAGAGGCGGCCCCGCCCCGCCGGGCCGGGCCCCGCCGGGCCGGGCCTCGCCGCGCCGCGCCGGGGGGACCTGCCGGGGGAGGGACCCGGGGGAGGGGGGAAGGCCTCGGGGGAGGGACCGGCGGCCGCGCCGGGCAGGGCTGGAGCGGAGGAGGGGGCGGCGGGGAGTGATGGGGAGGCCCCGGGGAGCGGGGCTGGGGGCGGGGGGGGGCGGCCGAGATCCCGGGGGAGGGGGCGCGGGGACGGCGGGGGAGGCCGCGGGGGTGGGCGGCTGCGGGCGCAGCGGCCCGGGGGCTTTCCCCCGGAGCCGGGCACGGCGCCCTGCGGGGGCGGATGCGGGAGCCGGGGGCGGGGGGGCCGTGCGGGAGCCGCGGGAAGGAGCGAGCGGCCGGGGGCGTTGCGCGCCCCGTCCCCGGTGCAGACCCCGGTGAGGGGTGCTGGGGTGACGGCAGCAGCGGGGCGCAGCCCCGGTGCCCGGCGGAGGATGAGGAGGCGGCTGAGCGCCGGCAGAGCGAGGACTTGGTGGGAGAGGAGCCCCCCGCGCTGGGGGCGCCGCGGGCGGGCAGCCCCGGGCCGGGGATCCCGCGGCGGGAGGTGCGTGCCCCGGCCGGGCGACGGGAGCGCCGGGGAGCTCCTCGGCGGGGGCCAGGGAGTGTCCCGGGCGGCCGGGGAGGAGCCGGGCCCTGGAGCGCGGCCGGGACCTCCCCCCCTGTCCCGCTGCCAGCTCCTCTTTGGCAGCTCCCCGCGCTCCGCAGCCCCTTCCCGGCGGCGCCGGCAGCGCGTGGTCCCCCCGCAGCCAGCCCGCCGTGTCCCCTCCGGGCCCTGCCTGGCCCTGCCGAGCCTCGTGCCGCTGCCCTGCCCCAAAATGTCCCTAACCGGGGCTGTCCCTTCCCTCCTGCGCAGACCAAGAGAGCACCGAGGAGATGTCGGCTGTGAAGCCCGACAAGGGCGAAGGCGACGCCAGCAGCACGAGCAGCGCCGGCGGTGGGGACACGCAGGTGAGTGGGGGAGGATCGGCCCCGCTGGCCCCGGGGAGCCCGTGGCAAAGTCCAGGCCCGGGCTGAGCTGTCTGCCGGGCCCGGGCAAGCGTTTCAGCCCGGGCAGGAAGAGGAGGGTGAGCGCTGCCAAGCAGCGCCGGTGCCTTCCCCTCCTCCCCGGCTCTCCTCGGAAACACGCAGTTCCCCTGCTCCCGGTGACACCACGGCCCCCGCTGGCCCGTCTCCAGCTCGGGGAGCCCGGGAATGACCCTCCTTCCTGGGGGTTCGTCGTGCCTCAGGGGGATTGCCCGGCTCGGCAGTGGAGGAGCCCTCTCCTCTCTTGGCTTTCCCGGGCAGGCTCCCTCCCAAAAGGCTTTTCCGTGTGGGTTCAGGCTGTCCCGGCCTGTCAGCCTTGTGCCTGGCAGTTGTATTTTTCCGGCTGTGGGTGGGTTTGTTCAGGAAGGAGTGTTTATCTTTTCCGAGTATGCTCCTCCCTGTTTTCTTAAGTTGGTTTTTTAATTATTTTTTTTTGTTTCCCCGTTGTTTTTTTTTTTTTTCACTCCGGGCCTGCCCCTCGGGCCGCCTCCCAGCCCCGTAACTCCTCCTCTCGTCCCCAGGAGTCACAGCCGTCCCCGCTGGCCCTGCTGGCAGCCACCTGCAGCCGCATCGAGTCTCCCAATGAGAACTCCAACAGCTCCCAGGGCCAGCAGGGTGGGAGCGGCGAGCTGGACCTGAACGCGGCCGCCGCCCAGCTCACCCAGTCGTCCAACGGCTGGCAGATCATCTCGGCAGGCTCCAGCACCCCCACGGGCTCCAAGGAGCCGGGCAGCAACGGCAGCAACGGCGGCGACGCCTCCAAGAGCCGCCCGGTCAGCACCGGGCCCTACGTGGTCACCTCGGCGTCCGGCCTGCAGAACCAGCAGGTGCTGACGGGCCTGCCGGGCGTCATCCCCAACATCCAGTACCAGGTGATCCCCCAGTTCCAGACCATCGACGGGCAGCAGCTGCAGTTTGCCACCACCCCGGCGCAGGTGAACGTGCAGCAGGATGCCTCGGGGCAGCTGCAGATCATCCCCAGCTCCAACCAGCAGATCATCACGAGCCGTGCGGGCGGCAGCAACCTCATCGCCATGCCCAACCTGCTGCAGCAGGCCGTGCCCATCCAGGGCGTGGGGCTGGCCAACAACAGCCTCTCCGGGCAGACCCAGTACGTGGCCAACGTGCCCGTGGCCCTGAACGGCAACATCACCCTGCTGCCGGTCAACAGCGTGGCCGCCAGCCTGGCCCCCACGTCCCAGACGGGCACCCTCAGCAGCTCGGGCTCGCCGGACAGCAGCTCCCAGCCGGCCACCTCGGGGGCTGCCAGCAGCTCGGGCAGCACGGCCACATCCCAGGCCAGCTCGGGCGCTTTCTTCACCAACGCCAACAGCTACTCCACCACCACCACCACCAGTAACGTGGGCGTCATGAATTTCTCCACCAGCGCCACGGTGGGCACCAACGTGCAGTCACAGACCCCCCAGAGGGCCAGCAGCGTCCCCAGCTCGGACTCTCTGCAGACCCCGGTGTCCGGGGTGGCCCTGCAGCCGGGGCAGCAGAAGGAGGGGGATCAGAGTCAGCAGTCGCAGCAGCAGCAGCAGCAGCTCCTGATCCAGCCACAGCTGGTCCAAGGAGGGCAGACGATCCAAGCCCTCCAGACCACCCCGCTGTCTGGGCAGACCTTTGCCACTCAAGCCATCTCCCAAGACACCTTGCAGAACCTGCAGCTCCAAGCCGTGCCCAACTCCGGCCCCATCATCATCCGCACGCCCACGGTGGGTCCCAACGGGCAGGTGAGCTGGCAGACCATCCAGCTGCAGAACCTGCAGGTGCAGAACCCCCAGGCGCAGACAATCACGCTGGCCCCCATGCAGGGAGTGTCGCTGGGCCAGACGGGCAGCACCAGCACCACGCTGACCCCCATCGCCTCCCTGCCCAGCGGCACCGTCACCGTCAACGCCGCCCAGCTCTCCTCCGTGCCGGGCCTCCAGACTATTAACCTCAGTGCCTTGGGAGCGTCCGGGATCCAGGTGCACCAGCTGCAGGGGCTGCCCCTGGCCATCGCCAACGCCCCCGGTGAGTGCTCGGCTCCCCGGGTCCCTTCGGCGGCCAGGCACGGGAAGGACAAGCGCCGGCCCGGCCGGGCCGGGCGTGGTCTGTGTCAAATGGTGTTGGTGGCCGGGGTGGGGCTTGTGCCGGCCCTGGGCACCGAGTGTGCTGCTGAAGGTGTTCTTGGGGAGTTTAAGTCTTGGAAAGAAAGGGAGGAGGTGGCTGTGGGGGGAAAGTGGAGGAGAAGGAGGACAGCTGGTTTTGTGCCGCTGTCCTGCCCTGGAGGAGTCTCGGGTCAGGGCTGGGCTGAGGACCCGAGTCCAGCTCGGCTCCTTGGCTGAGCCTGTGAGGAATCACGGCCATAAAACACAGGGATTAACTGAAGAGCCCACGAAAACAAACACAGTCACGGAGCCGCGGGGAATTTCCTCACAGGGGCGGAAGAAAGGGCTCATTAAGTGTCTGGGTGCTGGCGTGGGACAGCGTGAGCTCAGCCTGGCCCAGGCGCCCCCGTGGGCACGGGGCACCCTGCTCAGAGCCCCCGGGATCCATCCCTCATCTCCCACAGCCTGGGAAAAGCGGGATACGAGAATGTGGGAAGTGAGCTGGAGCCTGCTCAGCTCCTGCCGCGGAAGGGATTGGTTCTGGGAACGCTCTCCTCTTGCTTTTCCACTGTTTTCCTTGGGCTTTTTTTTATTGTGCTCTGGCTCTGGCTGAAAGGCGCTGTTGCTGGATTTAGTCACAGCTGAGAGGCAGCAGAAAATGTTGCTCAATCCAGCCCGAGCTCCCTCTCGCGAGAGGCGGCGGCGGCTGCTCCCCCGGGCTTGTTTTGCAGCATTATTTTGGGCTGTTGCTACAGCAGCTTGGCTCGCAGGCAAGCCACGGGTCGCTCCAGCCGCGGGATTAGCCTGATCCTTGGATTGCCCCGAGCGCAGGGACCCGCGGGGGGCTCCCACAAGCGGGGCTGGCACCGGGGGGACACGGCTTAGCCGGTGTGACCCGCGGGGTGCGGGGGGTCCCTGCCTGGGGCTCCTTCCTGGGCTGCTCCCGGGCTCCTTCCTTGTTTTGAAGGCGCTGGAGAAAGGCATGGGAGAGCCCAGTTCCTGTATCCGTGCCTGGCTCTGCCCTCGGAGGTGGGGCAGGGAGGAACGTTCTAGAGACCACCCATGCAACCGCCTCCTCCTCTTTCTCCTCCTCCTCTTTCTCCTCCTCCTCCTCTCCTTTTTTTTAGCTCAGCAGCTCTCAGCCCTTGATCTGCCGTGGAGAATTCCCCGCCAGTAGCAGCAGCAGCAGCAGCGGGGCCTCCTGGCTCTGTCCCCAGCCCCGAGGACGTGACGCTGGCACTGTCACTGCGACACGGGGACATTTTAAGAGAAAAGCCAGAGCAGGGTTCAGGGCGTTTTTTTGGGGAGCCCCAGCTCCGAGGAATGGTCCGGGAGGCTCCTGGGATGAAATGGGGGAAGGTTTGAGCTTCCTGGCACCAATCCAGGGGCAGGGTTTGATTCCAGGCCGGAGGAGTTTTTCTCTGGCTGTGTCCCTCAGACGTGGCAATGGGTCCCTTTGTCCCTCCAGCCCCTCTCCAAGGGGTGCTGAGCCCCCCCAGACCCGCATCCCTCCGGATCTGAGCTCTCCAATGGGAATTTGAGGGAGGGGTTTGTTCCCAACGCTTCCCTGAGCGTTTTCCAAGGCTCCACGTGTGCTGGAATTTTCTGCTCCAGGCAAGGAGTTGGGAAGGGATTCTGGAGCAGGAAAAGCTCCTCTGCTTCCGGGGAGGGGAGACAGATGGAAAATGAGCCCTGGCTGAGGAGGAGACTGTGGCTGCTTTTCCTTGGATGCTGCTGGGGAAGGAGGAGTGCCCAGCCAGGGGCGTGGTGGCCCCAGCTGCCACCTGGGCTGGCAGCGCTGCGTGTCCTGCCCCTTCCAGAGCTCAGCTCGGCCTCACGGGGGTTCCGTGTCCCCTCCTGAGCCCCGTGGATGGGGGGCTGTGGCTCCCAGCCCCTCGGGTCTGTTGCCGAAGAAGTTTTTTTCCTGTTTTTTGACAGGGGAAACATCCCTCAGGGAGAAAACAACACCTGGAAAGGTCTTTAAAACTGGGACGTTTTTGCTCCTGGGTGGGACACAGAGCCCAGCTCTGTGCAGGTCTGACTTGGAGTCTGTGTTCATAGGGTGGCTCAGAGGCTGTTTCTTCCTCCTCCCTGGCCAGGCTGGGAAGGAGCAGAGGCAGGGCCAGGCCACCAGAGGTGGCATGTGGGCAAACAGGCCCTTCCCCTGGCTCTGCCCCTGGGAAGGCACCCCCAGAGCCAGGGAGGGGGGATTGCCTCAGCTGGCAGTGCCCAAAACCCCTCCCGGGGCTGCTGCCAGCGTGCCCACGTCTGGGGCTCAGGTGGGGGCTGTGACACCGCAGTGGGGTCTGAGAGACACCTCAGTGTCACCCCAGCCCACACAGGGAGGGGACATCCTGTGTGAGGGGGATTTTGTGACATCGGGGTTTCTCTTCCTCTTTTGCCGTAGGGAGGACAGGGACTGTTCTGAGCTCAGTGTCCTTTTAGTGGCTTTGTCCCTGCAGAGTCCTGCTGTCCCCACGTCCCCGTCCCAGCCCTACCTGGCTGAGGAACGTGCTGGGTAAACAGGTGACCACCAGCGAGGTCAGCGCTGGAATCAAGCCCCCTTGTTTTGGGGGCACTCAAGGGCTATCCCCCGTTTTGAGATGTTTGATTCCAGGGCTGGATGGAGCTGTTGGGTGGCATTGGGGTTTTCTGGGCAGCACGAGCTCCTTGGATGGAGGACGTGGGGGAATGGAGCAGCGGGGGCAGGAGCCCTGGGCAGTGAGTCCCTCCCTGCTCCCTCTTGGTCCTTCCAGGGCCCTGCCCGGAGCCGGGCCGGTGGCACAAAGCCCTGATTGTGTCCCGTTTGCTGGGTTTTAAGGGCAGCTTTGTAGCAGGGCCTGGATGAGGCATCCACATGGGGAGGGGACAGGGGACCCGAGCCCCGGGCGGAGCGCGGCCCTTGTTTGTCTCACGGCAGCCGTGACATCACGGCACAATCCAGCGTATTGTGAAACTTCCTGCTCTGAATCCCAGCCAGGGCTCTACGTCCCCTCTGGATTTTTGGGCTGACCTCCGTCCCTGTCGTTCCCTGGGGACTGACACGTCCCCCCCAGAGCCCGGGGATGGCTTGGGAAGAAGGGCAGCGGTCCCGGCAGAGCCCGTGTCGTGGCAGCTTTGTCCGGGTGAGCTTGTGCCCCACACAGGGTCCCTGTGGGGGACACCCTGTGGGTGCTGGACTCCACGGGGCAGCCCTGCACCTCCTGCTCCTGCTCCTGCTCCTCCTCTCCCTGCTGCTGCTCCGGGCCAGGCTCGGCGGCGCTGGGAAGGGCTGGCGGCCGCGCCGGTCGGACGGGTCGGGCGCGCGGCACCCACCCCGTGACTCCTCCCGGGAGAGGTCCCGGCTCCAGGCCCGTCTGCCAGGCCCCATCTGCCTCTCCTTTTATCTGGGCCAGCCCCAGCCCTGCTGGAGCCCCGACTTATCGCCCCGCACAGGAGACGCTCCTGGCTCCCGGGTTTGGGGGAGTTCCCGCGTGGCTCCTCTCCAGAGCGGCGGCTCCCACCTTCGGCAGCGTCCAGACGGCTCCTGATCCCCTCCCTCCCCAGCCTGGCTTAGATCCTGGGGGTGATACGGGCATCACTTCCTCCTTGGGATTAAAAACCTGGGATTTGTGGCTCAGGAAAGCGTCCACTCCTGATTGCAGCGAGGGAGAGCTTTGGGTGAGGTGGGAGGTGCCTGTGGGGGTTCCCCACCTTGGGAATTGCCCTTCCCTGTCTCAACCAGGCATTTTCCTCCTTCCACAGCCCAGCACAGGGATTTCTGCCTGGATGGCAGGGGTGCTGTGGTGGGACCTGCCTGTGCTGCTCGGGGTGCTCTCACCCCAGCCAAGGCAAGGCAGGACCGGAGCTTCCTCAGGTGTTGTGACAATTCAGGTGGGAAGTTGAAGGGCAAATCCCCTCTCCAAAGGAAGTGTCTCTCATCCTGATGCACAGAAACCTCCAGCAATTACAGGAGCTGCCCAAGGAGTGGCTTCTGGAGTCATCAGAGTCCAAACTAAAGCCCAATTACTCACTGGGCTGCAGGCTTCCAGCCTGTCCCATCCCTTGGTTCCCTCTCCACGGCCCCGATCTCCAAGGAATTGCTGAGCCAGAGCTTGGCTCATTTACATGGATGAGCTCCTGGTGCAGATTAACTTGTTTTGCAAACCAGGGAGGGAATCAGATGGGGAAAAAAACAAGGGGTCATCGTTCCAAAGCCACTTTGTCCCTTTGTGCAGCTCTTTGGTGTGTCTGGAGCAGCCAGGGTTTGTTCTGGGCAGGGCAGTGACCCCAAAAACCCGGCAGGAAATGGGGAGAACTCGAGTCGTGAGCTAGAAAATGTGGATCTTGGAGCTATTTTCAGGAACACACCTGAGAGGTTGGGGCTGCGTGTCCCCAGGTTTTGCATTTCTTTCTTTCCACCTGAAAACTTCCTGGTGCATGGAAGCCACGTTGTGCTGGTGCCAGCTCCTCCCTCACCCTCTGCCCAGGCACGGCTGCCAGAGGTGCAGAGTTTGCACAATCAGCCCTGCTTTGTTGGTTTTGGGTTTTATTTCCAGCTCTTCCCCTAAAAATGAACACGGGGTCTGTTCCCCTGCCTGAGGTTGGCCAGGGTGGGTGTGAGAGCTGCTCTCTCCTCCCCGCCGGGCATTTCTCACCTCCTGGTAGTTTGCTAAATAAAGCAAACAAACCCCAGCTTTTTCCTGCACAAGGAGCACCTTGTCTGCAGAGAATGCCCAAGCCAAGATTCCGGGGTTTGGGGTTTTTTAGTGGGACACCAGAAACTGCCCCGTTCCTGAGGGGTCTCAGAGGTCGCTGGTGGAGCTGGGCCAGGGGCAGCTCCCCTCTCCTGCCTTCCCAAAATCTCTCTTTCTCCCAGGATTAAACCTCCTCTTGCTCTATTAATAATATATTTTTCTAGGGCTCTGCTGACCTGAGTGTGGAGCCTCCAGGGAAGCTTTAGTCTTAGCAGGGAGGTGCATTAGCGGGGATAATAAATGTGAATTATCCTCTCTGCCCACCTTTCCCCTGAACCTGCCCTATCCCAGAGATTTCAGAGCTGCTGCTTGGGGTGGGATGATCCCTGCAGCTCCAGGATCTGCTGCCCTGCATTTGTACCTTGCTGAGAGGTGGCTTCAGATCTCCTGCAGCAGGATTTGGGTTTGTTCCCCCAGCGCCACAAGGCCAGCAAACGCTGCGTAGGCTTTTGCCTCTTGGAGGATTGAAGCCATTCCAAGGCGTCCTGGCAGGATTCTCCCCCTCCCTGCTGTAATTTTGGGGAAAGAACTTGTGTTTGGGGTTTTCTGGGGGAGAGTTGTGTTTTCTCTTGCCTCTTTCTTTTTTGGGTTGGTTTTTTTTTTGTTGTTGTTGTTGTTGTTGTTGTTTTTTTTCCCCAGCAGCTCTTCCCATCCGGGGAAATCTCTAATCCGTGGCTGGAGCGCAAAGCTGTCACTGCTGGCTTAGGAAGCTTAAAAACCCCTCCCAGGCTCCCTCTGCGTGGGGCTGTGACTGCAGACACGTCAGGGGAGCTGCAGGGAGGGACTGGGAAGCTCCTGGGATGCTCCTGGGATCCTCAGCTTGGCAGGGAGCTCGGGCTTCAAACGGTGTCACCTTTGGAGGGGACAGTTTCCTTCTCCAGGCCTGGCTGGAGCATTCCCCTGCTCCCAGGGTGAGGGCAGAGCCCGGGTGGTGGTCCCAGGCTGGATGAAGGGACTCGGGACAGCTGGGGTTGTGTGCCAGGTGGCAGCCCCAGGTGACAGCCCTGGTGACATCCTGGCTGCCACCGCTGTGACAGGGCCAGGCTCTGCTCCTGGGGGTGCCAAGGACCTCTTCTGGTGGCTCCTGTCCCTTCTGAGCCCTGGGGACCCGTTCTGGTGGCTCCTGAACCCCAGGGACCCGTTCTAGTGGCTCCTGAGCCCCAGGGACCCGTCCTGGTGGCTCCTGTCCCTCCGTGGAGCTTTGCCCAGGCACCACTGACGCCTGCTGGAGCCAGCACAACCAGGGATTGGGGAATTGTTCCTGCCAGGAATTCTTCCTCGTTCCCAGCTCTGTCTCTGGGTTGTGAAACCCCCTCCTGGCACCTCCAGGAGCGCCCGGCCTGCGCCTCACAGGGGATTTGAAATTTGTCCTTCTCCAACCCCCCCCAGCTCCTGCCTCGGGGCTCCTATGTGGAGAACTGGGATTGTAAAGGAAATTTCCCTGCTCGGCCGAGGTCTGGTCTCAGCAGGGCTTCCCGGAAGGATCGTGGGCGGGGGTTTGGGAATGCCAGCCTTGAAAAGTGCAGAGGGGATGCAGTGAGTGACCAGCAGCCCCAGGACACCCCCACGGACCTTGCTGTCGCCTCATCCTCACTGGGGCTGCTGGAAACAGCGCCAGGAAGAGCCCCAGATGGGTTTTTTGGAAATAATTCCCGCCTGGAGCTTGATTTTCCAGCCTTGGGAGAGCATCTCTGGAATGAGATAAAACCCCAGGTGTGCTTGTCTCAAACCTGCCACACTCGGGGCACAGAAATCAGATTCCTCGTGGGGAAATTGTGGGGAAAAAGGTGAATTTGTCTCAAAACTTCCAGGTTCAGGTGACAGCATGTCCTTCCTGTGAGGAAATCGGTGTGAAAAAGGCAGATTTGGGGCTGCAATCACAGCCCCTGGAAATAAATTAAAGACCTGGACCAGAACGGGGGAAATGTGGGAGGCCCAGGGCTGGGCAGGGCCGGGAAGCCGAGGGAGGAGGGTGGGCTTCGGGCAGAGGAGACCCCCTTCCCAGGCGAGGAGCCGCCTGAGCTCCCGTGTTTTGCCTTGCAGGTGAGCACGGCGCCCAGCTGGGGCTGCACGGCGGCAGCGGGGACGGGCTGGGCGACGAGAGCGCGGCCGTGGAGGAGGGGGAGACCAGCCCCGACCCGCAGCCCCAGCAGGGCCGGAAAACGCGGAGGGAAGCCTGCACCTGTCCCTACTGCAAGGAAGGAGAGGGCAGGTGAGGCTGCTGCCCGCGGCTTGGCTCCAGAGCGCCCCGGCGCCCCCAGAGTGCCGCCCCTTAAGGAGTTTTTTGGGCTGGAAAGGGTCCCTCCGGTCACCCAGCTGCTCCCCAGCCCTGCCAAGGCCACCCGTGTCCCCAGGTGCCACATCCACGTGGACCCCCCCAGGTCCTTTCCCAGCTTCCAGCCCCAATTCCCCATGCCTGGAGTGTCCCATGGGGCTGCTGTGACCCAAGGGCAGGACCTGGCTGTGGACCCAGCTGAGCCTCACCCCAAACCCAT